GGAGAATTTGAGATGTCCATGATGGGTAAAATGAATTATTTTCTTGGACTTCAAATCAAACAATTAAAAGATGACATCTTCATCAACCAATCCAAGTATTGCAAGGAACTCTTGAAAAGATTTGACATGGATAACTGTAAGTCAATGTCTACACCAATGAGTTCTGGTACATATGTTAATCAAGATGAATCAGGTGTTTCCATCAACATTACAAAGTATCGAGGTATGATTGGCTCCTTATTATATCTGACGGTAAGTCGTCCTGACATAATATTTAGTGTTTGTCTATGTGCTCGCTTTCAAGAAAATCCAAAGGAATCTCATCTCATGGCAGTGAAACGGATTATGAAGTATCTCAAAGGAACAACAAATGTTGGATTATGGTATCCTAAAGGTAGTGTTTATAACTTAGTTGGTTATTCTGACGCGGATTATGCAGGTTGTAAAACTGATAGAAAAAGCACAAGTGGTACTTATCACATCCTTGGAAATGCATTAGTATCATGGGCCAGCAAGAAACAAGCATGCATTGCTCTTAGCACGGCCGAAGCAGAATATATTGCAGCGGGTAGTAGTTGTGCTCAAATTTTGTGGCTCAAACAATAACTTCGTGACTACGGACTCGATCTAGGATGCATTCCTCTACGGTGCGACAATACAAGTGAAATAAATATTACGAAGAATCCGGTCATGCATTCAAGAACCAAACACATAGATATACGACATCATTTCCTTCGTGAACATGTACTTCAAGGAGATGTCGAGGTAAAATTTGTAGATACTCATAATCAACTTGTCGATATCTTCACTAAACCTTTGGTAAGAGAACTGTTTTACAAGATTCGATGAGAGCTTGGCATTCTTGATGAACACGACATATAAGGTGCTTTCTATCCTTGTTATGATTTTATATATTTGTCTTAACCTTGTTATATGTGAATATATATGTTAAGTGATGTTTAAGTTTAAGAAAAATATGTTTTTGGTCATTTTTGGTTGATGCAAATCGATTGCACAATAGTGTAAATCGATTGCTCACTGAGTGTTTTTATTTTTTGACCTTTCTGTTTCAGTGCAAATCGATTGCACCATAAGTGCAAATCAATTGCACCATAAGTGCAAATCGATTGCACTCTGTGCATTTCAGTTTTATTTTGCTTCTGTTTTATGTGCAAATTGATTGCATCTGTATGTAAATCGATTGCATCTGTATGCAAATCGATTGCACCCACTGTAACATGCTTTTATGACAAATATTTGTTGGTCAAAATTCCTCTCTCTCTCTCTCATATTCCCAAGCTCATATCTATTATTGAAAATCCAATTAAACTTCATTACATATAATACAACCCACTCATTTCTATTTACTCACAAATCATATCCAAACTTCAGCTCATCAAACATCTTCCTCTCAAAACCTAAAACCTTCCAAACCCTAAAAACACCTTACCCATGTCTTCAAGGCAAAAATGAAAGGTGTCAGCTTCAGAGAAAGGGAAGAAAAAGGTTGGTTCATCCTCTGAGAATCCATTAATCTCAACCCTCGCTGAAGAACAAGAAGCAACATTTACAAAGGATTTTCAAAGAAAGATAGTGTCCAATCCTAAATATGGTATGCTATCATCTTTTCCCCAAGAATGTTTCTCTTTTCAAAATGATTTAACTACTTATGGACTAGAACCATTAATTTCATCATTTGGTCCATATTATCCGGATCTGGTAAGAGTATTTTTCAGCAATTTAACTCCTCACAAAGGCAAGATGGTGACATATGTATTGGGTACACGAATCTCTCTAACCCCTGAGATTGTTGGTGAGAATCTACATATTCCCTACACTTAAAGCTCTTTGTACGACCCTAAAAACGAGGCATGGGATGACTACAAGAAAAAGGAATTTTACTACAACATTGGGAGATTAAGCGAAGCTGAATTGCATGCCAAAAAGATTTGTGGTCTAGGAGGAGTGATTCCCTATATAGACTCATGAAGTGCATGTAACTTTTATATAGACTGTCGACTATTTCTTTATTTCATGGTCTATATTATGTTTTCACGGGCTGGAAACCATTGCACCGTGACTGACCTGGAAATGCAGCTGATCTATGCAAGGAAGAAAGGTATAAGTGTTAATTGGGTAAGGCTCATAATGGTTCATATGCTGAGGGTTGATGCAAAATCATAATTTCTACCATATGCTTACTTTGTTACATTAATTATGGAAGAATTTGGAGTTGATTTTGCTGGGTTTGAGAAAGTTAATATGGATCCAAATCTGCATAAGATGTCAATAAAAAATGTTGACTCAAAAATGGGTGTTCATTATAATCTAGAAACAAAAACTATAACTTACAATGGTGAAGATGTTGTCGGTGATGAAGGAAACAATCAAGAAATTGAAGGTGGTGAAGCTATACCTCCTCCACCTACTGCTCCCTTTGGTCCAAGCAATCAAGATCTTATGAGTTTCATGTCTCAACAATTTGCTTCCATGAATACCAACATCAACAACCAATGGAATGCTATCAACGATTCTACAACAACTCAGATTAATGACTTCCGCACAGATGTGAATCAACAATTTTCTTACCTTTACTCTCATATTCACATTCCATCACATGACTCAAATAATCCAGCTGCACCTCCACAACATTATACAGAACCTCCTCTACAACAACAATTTCCAAATCAAGAATCTTGTTTCTATAACAGCCGGGACATGAATCAACCATAAAATTTTGTCCAACTTTATTATGTCTACTATTTTCTGTTATGTCCTTGTTCAGTTATGCTACGTTTTTTTTGTTGTTAGATTTCTTTGTAATCATTATGTTATTATGTCTATGATAATTTGTGATGCACGATTATTTAAGTTTTTTCAATATTGCTTTATTATTGTTCATTTTTATTGCATCTTTCCCTTCTTTTTGATAATGTCAAAGGGGGAGAAGGATGTGGCACTTTGTGCTTGTATATTTCCTTGTCTTAAATTTTTAAGGTACTCTTCAACCAAGATGAACAAATTCAAAGGATTTCAAAGCTTCTCATACAAAGGGGGGAGTTATACATCTTAGGGGAGAAGTCTTTTTCTGGAAATTACAACGTATCAAGCAAGATCGTTTGTCATCATCAAAAAGGGGGAGAATGTAAAATCAAGCTTCTCAAATGCACTTTTGTTTTGATGAAGACAAACCATGATTGACAAAGAAGGCAAAGATTATTGATCAAACTAAAATCATCTGTGGATAAAGTCTTTGGTTCAAGCACTTAGCAAAATTTCAAGGTATAATGATAATACTTACTTTGAACTTAAGACATAGATGCTCAATGGTTAAAAGAAATATTTTATATTATCCAAATCCTTACTCAAGTTTTTTCTAAGCTAAAAATCATTTTTCACTTGAGTGCAATCGATTTGCATATTAGTGCAATCGATTGCATGCTTCAATTTTTCAAAACATTTGCTATTGTTTCTAAGTGCAATCGATTTGCATGTTTGTGCAATCGATTGCACTCAATCAATTTTTGCTACTGACTTCAAATGCAATCGATTTACACTCTTGTGTAATCGATTGCACACTCAAAATATTTAAATTTCTAGCTGTTGAAACCCCGTACAATCGATTTATACAAAGGGTGCAATCGATTGCATGCTACACGATTTTAAAAAATAGCAGCTTTACACATGCCTGTTCATAACACCATTTCATGGAAACCTTTCACTCAATCTTGGCAATTGTTCATGATTCATTTACAGAACTTTATGCTGTTTCAAAAAGGTGATATGAACATATAAATACTCATTTTCAAAATCATTTCAACACCTCTTCCAATTATATTTTCTGAATTTTCAAAAATCAAGTTCAAGTTGTTATACATTTTCATACATAAGTTTTCTGCACACTTTCACATATTGTTAACCAGAAAACTTTGAACATTATATATCTTGAGTCATTGTATACTATTATCATTGAAAGAGAAGATCAATTCATTGATTAAATCACTCAAAGTGATCATTGCTACTCAAACTCACTCAAATCAAATATTGCATATACTTGTTTATTTTTCAGGATTGTTGGAAATAAGTTTAAGTAGTTTTATAAATCTTGTTTTTTCAGGATTGTTGGATACAAGTAAAGTCACTTTGAGAGGATTGCTCTCATTGTTGACATAGTGAAAATCCAAGAGGATTGTTTTTGGTCAAAGAGGATTGTTCTTGGTTTTGGGTAGTTCTTGTTTAAGTTTGCCACAATAAGGAAATCTCTTTCATGTTGAAAGAGAACTGGAGTACTCTCGGACTGTGAGGGGAACCAGGATATATCGCTTGTGTCTCTTTATTTTTCTGCACTTTACTCTTTCATAAACTCACCATAAACCAGAAAAATAATATCCATCATCACTAAAACCATAAATTTTTAAAGTACCTAATCTCACCCTCTCTCTTAGGCGCACTTCGTACTTACAATCTCATGTTCATACATCTATTTCAAACATTAAATTTATCTTGTGGTGGACATTTATATTAACTCTCTTAATTTCTAAATTGCTTATGAATAAATTTGAGGGTGACAAAGAACAATATTTTTCGTAGATTATAAAATTTCCGATATTATTAAATTTTCGGTAAATTTTAAAATTTCCTATAATATATCAGAAACTTCAAAATTTTTGATTAGTATAAATTTATTTTTCAAAAATGAACTATCAAATTTTTAGAAAAACCCAATAATTTTATCTGAAAATTTTAAAAGTATTCGATATTTTCTTAAAATTTCCGATAAATTTCAAAAAAAATTTATAAGACATAAAAATCATAGCACCTTCATATTGAGGTTAAATGCTCAAAACATTTGCATGGGCTTAGGCCTTTTTGCTAGACTAACTCATATCAAAATAAGAAAAGCAATCTCCAAAAAAAAGCACCTTCTTCTGCGCAACATTGCTCAACACGAGATTTCGCAAATTTCTCTCTCTCTCTCTCTCTCTGATCATACTCCTCCAATGGCCGCCATCATTTCACGACGGTTAAGATTAACTTCCTCCATCCTAAAACCCTCTCATTTTCCATCTCCATCACCATCTCCAACAACCCCTCAATCTCCAATCTTCCAACCCGTAACCCATAACCCATCTTCATTTTTCACCTTTCAACACTTTTTCTCCCAATCCACAACAACCCCATCAAAACCCACCTCCCATTTCATTCTCACTCCCTTCTCATCCCACCAAGTTTCTAACTTTTACCCTAAACCCATCTTTTTCTCAACCAACAACCCATCATCATCATCATCAGATTCTGATAAAGCACCAAACCCAAGTCCATACCCAAGTGAAAACCCAAACTTCAAACACCAAGAAATCGAAGGCCCAACAGTAGAACGCGACCTCTCCCCCCTCGCCAACGAGACACGAGAAATTCTAGAAACAATGATGAAGAACATCTATGGACTAAGCAGGGTTGTAGCACTAATGGGCCTCGTTCAGCTTGGTGTTGGAGGCTGGATCACATACGTGACTAGATCTTCGCCCATCACTGAGGTTTCTGTGCAAAGCTTATTGGCTTTTGCGTTTCCGTTCTCTCTGGCGTTTATGCTGCGTCAATCTTTGAAGCCGATGAGATTCTTTAAGAAGATGGAGGAACAAGGTAGGTTGCAGATTCTGACACTGACTCTTCAGGTTGTTAAGCAGTTGAATGTTTTGTTTGTTAGGGTTAAAGGGGTTTCGTTTGTTTGTGTTGTTGGGTTGTCTGCTGGTTTGCTTTTTGCTCTTTCGATCTCATGGTTGAAATAGTGACTTGATTCTTTTATAACAATTACCATTGATGATATGAAAACGTCATTGTAGTTGTGCAAAGACATCAGATATAGGACGTTAATTCGAATTCGTGATATCGATATCACTCATTAATCTATAAAAGGTGAATTATAGTCATTAGGCTATGTTTGGTTTTAATTTTGGAAGAAATAAAGTGATTGTCGAGGTGTGTGATTGATTTTGGCATGTTTGTTTTTCTAAAATAGAATTGATTTTGTCTCTAGAATTGAGTCTTCTGATTGTAATTATAAGGCTTTTGATTCGAATCATATGTGTTCATGAATCCAGTTTTTGTATGATTCATGATGCATACTTCAAATCACTAGATTGAAACTTACAAAACTGATTATGAGAGATTTATGTGATTCAAATCTGACTTTAAGATTTGAATACATTGAACTTAGTTTTTTTTATTCATTCCCCTCATTTGCCATCAACATTAATTTCAACACTTGGGTGTAGAAATGAGGAATATTGTTTGCTTACTATGTAGAGTTTAAGTTCTTGGATAATTGAAATTTTAAGTTTGAAGGAGCTCATAAAACTTGAAGATTCAAGGTTCAAGGTTATTTAAGAAAAATTTAAGATCGAAGGTGTTCACTCAAATTGATGCTTCGAGTTCATAGTTTTTGAAGAGGTTTCATAATGCGAAGTTCTTGAGTGTGTTTAAAAAAAGAAGGAAAAAACTCACATTTTGTTCAATGGGTACCTCTATACACATCAATATCAATTATATTTTCTCTAATCTTTATTACTTAATGCAATTAATGTGATTTAAAAAAAAAAAATCTTATTCTTGACATAGTTGATAGTTTAGAGAACATTATGTATTTGGTGTTCTTAAAATCATAAAATGTTTTTAACCAAAAATATTTGGTGTTCTCATATTTAAACATCAATTCAAATTGTTAGCCGGGTTTCTAATTTTCTTTTACCCAAATTATTTATGCATAAAATTAGGTTTTCATCATTTATAGTGTATTTTTTTTTTTTGTTTAAAAAGTGTATATAAATTTATACAAATTATAATTTTGAGAAACAAATTTGTGCATTGATGGCAAATAGAGTAAGATATATGAAGATAATTCTTTTCTTTACCTCTAATTACATCACATCAGAAAACTAGCAATACAACTATCTTAAAATTCTCTTTCATTGATGCCCACGAGATGTTTGTTGAAATACCTCAACCATAACTTATTTGTATCGCGTAGAAAAAAGACACAATTTTACATTATTCAATGGCTTTTAGTCTGATAGGAGGTCTCGATTATCTATTTTGAGGTTTTCATTTGTTAGGTTGCATAGATAGGGGCAACAATGTTTTTTATTTAGTATTTTATCTTAAGATGTTACACGTTTGTAGTGACAAATGAAAAAATGTGATATGTAAATTAATTGAGAGTGGTTGAGGTTTACTTATGGAATTTGATTAGTGTTTAAGTGTGGTCGAGCAATAGATGTGGTAGGGTGTATGAGTATTCATGATATGAATTAGATATGTCATTATTCTGATGATCTGGTTTGTGTTACTTATGGGGTAATGAATGTCAACAACCACATTATAATTATTTTAAAATGAGGATCTAGTTTTAAATGCAAAGATGTTAGTGTTCTGGATTTGCCAAAGGTCCAAAGCCAAGGCTCAACCTGATGCATGTTTAATTAGAAAAATCTAACGTATAAAAGCTAGCACACATGGATATTCTAGGTACACTTTTATGATATCCATTTTACCTCTCATCTTAGACTCAGGCCTGACTTAGGTGTTGAAGTGCTAACATTACAAGACCACTCTGCACCATCAGGTCGGATATCAATACTACCAATTTAGAATCCTTCGACATTAATGCACATCAATTTGATTCCACAATGAACAGTGACACAGTTTGTGAAAATCAACTTTGAATTCCCGTGAAATTCCACAAATAAATCATACTTGATCCAAAGTCATGTCTCTACTAGAACCGTGAGATAGAAACAAATACCTCATACATCACATCGAAGACGTCTGTCAAACCTTATGATCTTACTCCATCTCCAATGGCCATCATCTACGAGATCCACAACGCAACGACACTCGACGTATATTCATTATTAGAACACATCTTCCAAAAAATAGTTAACACCAAACCAAACCCAAACCCAAATCAAAACCCAACAATCCATCATCATCATCATCGAACTTTAATAAAGGCTCAAACCCAAACTCAAACCCAAGTGAAAATATGAATTTCAAACACCAAGAAATCGAAGGACCAATAGTAGAATGTGACCTCTCACAACTTCGAGAGACGTGAGATTCGATAAAGAATGATGAAGAATATTTATGTATTAAGCAAGGTTATAACGTTAATGGACCTCGTTCAACTTGGTTTTGGAGGTTAGATCACATACGTGACTAGATCTTCACCTATTATTGAGGTTTATGTGCAAAACTTATTGACTTCTGCGTTCCCTTTTCTCTGGCGTTTATGTTACATCAATCGTTGAAGCCAACAGAGTTCTTTAAGAAAATGGAGGAACAAGGTAGGTTGCAGATTCTGACACTTATGCTTAAAGTTGCTAAGTAGTTGAATGATTTGTTTGTTAGGGCTGAAGGGATTTCTTTTGTTTTTGTTGTTGGCTTGTCTACTGGACTAATTTTTATGTGTTTTCTAGAATATCAATTTGGAGATACAAGCTTTTCATTTTCAACTTTTATTCTAGTACAATGTCCATGCTTTACTTGAAAATGGTGAAATATTATACGTATAGCTATTTTGAGTGCTTAATAACTATGATAAATGATGATCAATGTTGCTCTATTGATCATATCAATAATAGAAATAGTGGCTTAATCAATGCTATAGTGTATGTTTCATTTTAATTTTGGAAGAAATAAAGTGATTGGAGAAGGATATAATTGATTTTAACAAGTTTGATTTTTCTAAAATAGATTGATTTTGTTTCATGATTTAATTTTTGTAGAAATTAGTTAGGATCAATAGTTTTTGAGTTTAAACGTTAATTTTATATTGAAATTTTCACGTATTTAAATATAAATTATTTTATTTTAAATTAATTTTTTTATTAAATTAATTTTATATAATCAGTTCATTCAAATTCAAAATCATTTTTATCAATTCAAAATCAATTTTGTCATTGTAAAACTGAACACGGCTTAATATAACTAATATTTCTATCTTTTGAAAATCAAGGTCGATATTGGACTAGTTTGTTTTAGCTTTTTTTTTTTTTCAAAAATGATTTTTATGTAAATATTTTTTAAAATTATAAAAAAAAGGTTAATTATATCATACCCCCTATCAAATTAGCGAGATTTGATTTTGGCCCTTTTAATAAATTTTTTTGTAATCCCTCCTTAACAAACTCATATTCTCTCATCATAGACCCTGAATCACTTTTCAAGACAAAATATTCCTAAGTGGTGTCCCATATGTATTTTTTAAATTTTATTTATTTAGTTAGTGACGACATGTCAATATTGTTTGGCTTCATATGAAAACAAAGAAATAATCTCAAAAAATTGAAGTTTCAATGGGATTCAAATCCTGGAACACTTGCATGTGGTACTAAGCACCCACCCACTAGGCAACCTGCTCTCTGTTGAACATAATTCCTGAAACATCAAACTTCAAATCAAAATCCAAAACACCAAAAATTAAGGACTCGCAACCATCAGATTTTACACAATTAGGATTAAAAACTTTATGGTTGGATTAAAAGCTATAATAGAATTATTAATTTTCAAAGTCATGAATTGAAAATTCTAAACACCAAACTAATCATGCAGTCATTCATCCAGAAAAGATGAAATATCATCATGATTTATTTAGTCTAACTAATCTTATCGGGATCAGAAAGATCTTTAATGGCCTGCAACACTTGAGCTTCTATGATTGATGAAGTGAATGAGGGTTGTACCTGAAAGATACTATGATGCCAAAGTAAGGTTTACAGCAAAAAAAAGAGCAAGTACACAATAAGTGAGTGAAGAAAATACCTGACTTTCTAGTGAAAGGGGGTATTTATAGTGCCCCCAGCACTGGGTCAAGGTCTCCATTATGGGTTGGATTTTTAGACCTATAATAGATGATTGTCAAGATCCTACGTGGGTAGGGAAGACCAACATGTGGTCTTCGTTATGGGTTAACTTGCTCAGTGATCTTCAGATGATGGGCTGACCACGTCATTTATGAAAGACATAACGGCTCCGAAGAGTGCAGAACATGTAACACCCATCTACACCCCAAAGAATATTCACAAAACAATTCAATAATTATATCAGAGTACTACACCAAAAAGGGTGTCACATTTCTTCAAACAAACATCATAGTAAAACAACATCCTGCTCGTAACACGAGTTTTCAAAAATCAATTTCGTTAAGTACTCCATGATTAACAACCATAGTTTTTCAACTTAATCGCAGCGGAAATTCATAATTCAAAACATATGTATTAAGATACTTCCAAATAACTTCATCAAATCAAAACAGCTTAAATACCACAAGCGTAGTTCAAATCTCAAATTAAACAAAATAACATGATTATTCAAAACAAACGATCCCATCCCCGATGTTACATATCAGAGCAAGACCCCTTTATTCTACAGGAAATAAAGAACACACTTCGCAACTATCCACTAAGCCTCGACGGACAATTCTTGATTACCTGCAAGTTACCAACGTATAAATGCAACATTTCCAAGCAGTAAGGATGAGTAAATCATAATCGTTATAAAAGACATAAGGAGTAAATATAGTAGTTACAATACAACACCAAAGAAAACACACAATCGAAGCCTCATGACATACTCACACCTTCTAGCATCATAATACACATCAGACACATGGTAATACCATCAATTAGCAATTATAAAAAAAACGCGATCCACAAAACACCAGCCAATCAAATCATCATGCAATGCCACATATAATGCAATGCAACTTCTTTAGATTCATGCATTTGGTACC